CACAATTAATAACCACATCAAGAAAGACCGAACAATCTGATAATTATCAAACAAAGGAATATGATAATGAAGCATTTCAGAAAGACAGATAAATCAGCTTTTTAAATAAAATTTTTAAAAAAGTAACTAAACAAGTGGGTAAACAAGTTTATTCAGTGATTTCCTTATTTTTATCATGTAAAATCTAATCATATGCTATTTGAAAAATAAACCCTATTGACCGATACATATTTGAACAAACTATATACATGACAACAAGTTCTCTTTATGAATTGATTAATGTTAATTGTTGTTCTGGCTTTACTCACATTCACAAAAAAAAGAAAAGATTGTATGAAAATGCTACTTACAAACATAATATTATTTTCCTTCAATGTTTTTTACAGATTTATCATGAAAGTGTTGTTGTTATCGTCTAAAGTTATTTTGCCGCATGCTTCAATTTTGTGTTTGTTTCCATATATATATATATATATATATATATATATACTTATCGGCTTCCTTTTCTACATTTCACACTACTAGCTCAATTTAAATGGTGCGATGTGATACTACTTACGCCTGTTACTCCCAATGAAGCATAGGTTGCCGACCAGCATTCTACATCCCACTCTGTCCTGGGCCTTCCTTTCTAGTTCGATCCAATTGTTGTTCATTCTTCTCATGTCTGTCTCCATTTCTCGGCGTAATGTGTTCTTTGGTCTTCCACTTTTCCTTCGACCTTGAGGACTCCAATTGAGGGCTTGACTTGTGACGCAGTTGGGTGCTTTCCTCAATGTGTGTCCTATCCACTTCCAGCTCTTCTTCCTGATGTCTTCGTCTGCTGAAATCTGGTTTGTTCTCTCCCACAGTAGGTTGTTGCTGATAGCGTCTGGCCAACGGACCCGAAGTATTTCGCGTAGACAACTGTTAATAAACACTTGTATCTTTTGGATGATGGCTTTCGTAGTTCTCCAAGTTTCCGCCCCATACAGTAGAACTGTCTTGACATTTGTATTGAAAATCCTGACCTTGGTGTTGGTTGGAAGACAGTTGTTTTGAGTTCCAGATGTTCTTCAGTTGTAAATATGCTGCTCTTGCTTTGCCGATCCGCGTCTTCACATCTTCATCGGATCCACTGTGTTCATCTATGATACTGCCCAGATATGTAAAGGATTTTACATCATTCAAAGCTTCTCCATCAAGTGTGATTCGATTGGTGCATGCTGTGTTGTATCGGACAATCTTGCTTTTCTCTTTGTGTATGTTGAGACCTATTGCTGCTGCTACCCTGGTCGTCTTCTCCTGCATTTGTTGTTGCGTGTACGATAGAAGTTAACTGTAAATAAGCATAATTTGAGAAAGTTCATTGACAATCAATAAAACCTGGTGTAAAGAAAACTCAAGCTGATATAACAGTTTTCAATGTTCGAATAAGTCACCTATGACATGAATGTGTTCACACAATAACAACTATATCAAATAAACATGGCTTGTTAAGTGATAGTGGAAGTTAGTTCAATTTATTGACTCTCATTACAAACTGATATCAGCTGAAAGACAGGTTTTCATAAACGAATTAATTAAACAATAATCCTATGCTAGTTAATAATTAGCATGCAAATAAGTTTCTCAAACTTCTGGTAAAACATTGTGACTCAGAGTCAATCGATTCCGAAAATAAAACAATTACTTATCAACATTAATGGATAATATTCCTGTTACATTGAGCATTGACTGAAGTTGTAAATGTGGATCACCGGAACTCTGGTTAAGAGATTTAAATGTTTTGATATATATCTCAACACTTAGCTTTCCCTAATTCAATCTCATGCACCTATGAATGTGCACTATTGGAGAGTTCTGAAATGAGTAAAAATATCTGCAAGAACGGTTTTGAAAGTCTACAAAATCCAAAGTCTCATCTTCACTTCTTCGTAATATGGGCATCATTTTATTTATTACTTCAGTTGGTCTTCATTATTGATGATGAGATTAGGCGTCATCCGCTACTTCGACTGATCGGAAATTTATGATGTATTTGTTGAGATATTCATAAAAATATCCCAAAAATGATTCTGTTAAGTCCAATGCTATCCTTGAACGTGAAATGGTGTCATTTTCCTATTGGCCAATATTCACGGTAGTCCTAACTGTGTAAATTTGCATTTTTCTGTAAAGTATTATTCCTCTTCTCCTGATCCCATAAACAATTTTCTTCTAACGGTTCGTGTTCTGATATATTGGAGATTGGGGAACAGTATTGGGGTCGTACTGGGATATCTAAAGTCGGTCAATCGGTAGAATTTAGAGTAGTGTTGAGGCTAATGTCCTCTATATCTGACTCCAATAAATAATATCCCGTTAACTGAGTATTTAATATAGGCTAAATCTCCTGGTAGAATTATGGATTTTACGCGAGATTATTCAAAAGCCTGAACACCAGTTGTAGATATAATTTATTATTAATGATTTATAAAAATCCGCAAGCGTACGGCGAGCAAGCACACGATGAAACAAAGTGAATGTGTGGGTCTAAAATCCATATATAATTTTGAGAATTAATCGGGTTTGGATAAATTATCGATTATCTGCACATTGCAACCAATAGGAGGATAGCTTAAGGGTTAATGTACAGACATGCATTCGATCATACACACTAAAATTAACATAGTGAATTAAGAGTTTGAAATGCACACAGAAATTAACATGATGAATTGTTTGAGTTACAATGAGTAGACAAATGATACAGTGGCCAAATGGGCTTGCCACAGTAGCCACCATGTGATACACAATAGTATTAAGATGTGTAGACATACACAACAATTTCTTGAATTTCATAAATGATTAGGACGAAGTAGTATGAATGATATCCCGTTTGTTTCATTATCATAGTTAAAAAAACAACTTTGTATACCATCTATCCGTAAACACGTAAACATCTTTGAAATTCGCAATCACAATTACATGTTATTGCATAATTTGATGTTAACGGTGAATTTTGAATAGCATTGAACGCACGGCAGTTTTTGTATTTCTTTTCATCCCTTTAAAAAAAATTTTTCAGTTCGTTTCGTCCAATTAAATGGCTAGTTTTAAATTCGTTATAATTGGTTGTTTATTTTTTAAATTGATATAATATGTCAGTACTTGTAGACAGAGCACCTTTTATTAAAATCATGGACGATAGTAACGTACAGAGTACAAGCTCTATAGTTTCTCACATTGTCACAGAAACAGATAATGTATTCTTGAATACATTGTATCTTGCGGCGTTCCAACCACTTGAAGCGATAAAAAGCGCCATAAGAACTAATGAAAGAGCTACGTACTGCCATTATACGGTAAGAGATTTTCATTTTCATCAATATACTGTACTGTACTCAAACAACACAATGGAAGATTCTTCGACACTACGGCGTACCTGAGAAGATAGTCAATATCATACGGAATTCCTATAATGGATTAAACTGCAAAATCGTGCATAGAAGACAGTTGACAAACTCGTTCGAAGTACAGACCGGTGTCAGGCAAAGTTGCTTACTCTCACCCTTTCTCTTTCTCCTAGTGATTGACTGGAACATGAAGATGTCAACATCTGGGGAGAAGCATTGGATACAGTGGACAGCTAGGATGCAGCTGGGAGATCTCAACTTCGCAGATGATCTGACTCTCCTATCGCACATGCAACAACAAATGCAGGAGAAGACGACCAGGGTAGCAGCAGCAATAGGTCTCAACATACACAAAGAGAAAAGCAAGATTGTCCGATACAACACAGCATGCACCAATCGAATCACACTTGATGGAGAAGCTTTGAATGATGTAAAATCCTTTACATATCTGGGCAGTATCATAGATGAACACAGTGGATCCGATGAAGATGTGAAGACGCGGATCGGCAAAGCAAGAGCAGCATATTTACAACTGAAGAACATCTGGAACTCAAAACAACTGTCTTCCAACCAACACCAAGGTCAGGATTTTCAATACAAATGTCAAGACAGTTCTACTGTATGGGGCGGAAACTTGGAGAACTACGAAAGCCATCATCCAAAAGATACAAGTGTTTATTAACAGTTGTCTACGCGAAATACTTCGGGTCCGTTGGCCAGACGCTATCAGCAACAACCTACTGTGGGAGAGAACAAACCAGATTTCAGCAGACGAAGACATCAGGAAGAAGAGCTGGAAGTGGATAGGACACACATTGAGGAAAGCACCCAACTGCGTCACAAGTCAAGCCCTCAATTGGAGTCCTCAAGGTCGAAGGAAAAGTGGAAGACCAAAGAACACATTACGCCGAGAAATGGAGACAGACATGAGAAGAATGAACAACAATTGGATCGAACTAGAAAGGAAGGCCCAGGACAGAGTGGGATGTAGAATGCTGGTCGGCAGCCTATGCTCCATTAGGAGTAACAGGCGTAATTATGTACTGAACTCAAAGATGAACTATCGGATATTCAAATTTTCCAGGGACATTAATATTATGCACTATGAAGCAGGATATTCAGGCTTAGAGAATAGTAATCATCGATCTGAATAGTACGAATGGGTCATACACATTCGAATATGATAATCGTAGGCGTTTATTCGCATTCTACTAGTTAAGCATGTGATTATTTAATAATCATTCTCAATAAAATGTAATGATTAAGCTTGGATAACTTACATAAATGATTCTTGAGAAACTCGTAAATTTAGTTTGCAGAATGTACGAAGGCTACAATTCTAATTAAAATTTAACGCAAACTATTTATCAATTAAATGGTTTATGTACTCGAAATCGAAGTAAACATGGTGGTATTTGAACCTTACACTTGAAAGCTAAATGCTTCAATCATTTAACCGTCAGTCCTATAATAAACCAAACGTTTCTGTATAATTAAAGAACTGTAAAAGTATTGATGCCACCTTCTCATCCAAGACAATCTCTAGTGTCGTTACTTACGTATTTGTGAACTAATCACTTATCGAAAGATCACAAAACACTTTCGAAAGGAATAATATAGGCAAAGTTAAACAAACCAATCTATAGTCCAACAAAATTAAAATTCTTTACAAATATAAATACATAAGTTAAATTACAAAAGGCTTCCTTAAATATATTTTAATTATTAAACAAAATATATGTGATACATATCATGTCAGCAATGTTTATTATTGTTCTTTATTTAACATTAATATGAATTTATCAAAGTATTCAGTGAGCAGAGTCTTTTGAGCTCTCCATTGCACAGCTGGCATTTGTGTGATATCTCCAATTGTCTTTTCAAAGTGTAAATATAATAACCAGAATTCTGTGAATTTTGAGAATAAAAACGATAATCAATTTAAAGTAAATATGTAGTGCTATGAGAAATATTATTTGTAATTGAAGCAATTTTTATTAATTGTTTGAATTACATAATTCATGTTATTAAAAGTAATTTGAGAAACTAAGTTGACTGGTTTTGAATTACAGATTAGATAGATGACAATAAATTAACTCATTTACCTGTACAGTAACAATAGAACAGAGAAAAGATCTTTATTAGCATTTTGATGTCAGATGTTTGAAAGCAATCACTATAAACCATAGACAGGCACTCGTACTAAATAGGCATGTTTGCAATCTTGAGAGAGATGTCCCCTCTAAAACTCAAACGTATGTCACAGTTAAAAATGTTGCCACAGAGCTATTTGGACAGAGAATAACCATTTGTAGGACTGACATATGCATATCGCAGTACGCCTCTTTAGTTTTAATCAACATCATTGTTTTTAATCCTAAAACTTGACCAAATTCTGTCATCCAGACTGACGTGCGAACCTCTCATTAAGGTTAACCAACATGCGGCTTATCATATTTGCATGTTCGATGACTCGAAGGAATCTACAGAAAACATTTTCTCAGTTGAATTAAAACGTTCACTTAAGAAAAATAAAGCAAACATGTTAACCTTTTCTGATTATATAATCAGTGGATGTTTACAGACAGTCGTTTAAACGACTCATTTGATAGGGTACTGAATGGAAAACTACAATAACAAACATGGCATTAGAGCTAACTATAATACTGAGATTACAGAAACTCCATTATCCCAGTAAAATTTTAATGTTTTAATATAAACATAACATTTTCATAGTTTTAAAGGTAAACAGTAAATTATTATCATCTTCATTCCCAATGTTAAAAGTTCTCGCATATAATGTACCCACTGCATATTTTTGTACTTAACCAGTAAGTTTTTGATTCAACCGGATAAATAGCAAAACAACCCGAATGCTAAATAACTTTGTCGAATATTTATAGTGTTGGTTGTAAAAGTTATAATTTTGTTTGTTATTGATATTCAAAACTGAGATAATAGGTGCTTCGTCAGTCGGTTAGTCGTACACAACGTAGAACCTAGTACATGTGAATATCGGTTCAAGGCGTCACACCCTACCAGCACAGTAAAATGAAAGTTTCAGGCTAAGTCGCGGTGTAGTAAAAATAGTAACAGGATTAAGAGTAACAGAAAAGATAAGGCATCGAAGGTACAACAAGAAAGGAAAACATAAATTACTAAAATAAGAAAACTATTAGGGATTTAGAAACTCAGGATCTAAGGGAAGATAAAGAGTGAATGCACCTGTGCCATCAAGATATGTCATTCAAAGTCTTTAACCACTGGTTAAGATAATCACGTATACCCCATCCAGGTCGTCTGCATCCATCTCTATATGGTTCAGTTCAATAGTCAATATTTTCATGGACCGATACCGTGTACTTGGTTTTCCACTCCCAGCTTCCTTCCATCATACTCCTACATCATCCAGAATCATGTGTCGAGGTAGTCGGTCGATGGACAAACGTAATATATGTTCCAACCTTCTCACCCGAAAAGGTTTCACTACCTCGTCAGTCAATTTACCATACCCATCTAGTATTCTGCGTCGAACCTTAGAACTGTTAATTCAGTTGTCCCAAAGTATACGAGCAATCGTTCAAAGACACCATCGATCGAATACTAGAAACCTACTAACATTCTCTATTTTTAAAGGTCATATTTCACACCCGTAAAGTAGAACAGAACAAATTTCTATGCAGTATACTCGTCCTTCTGTTGACAAATGGATATCTCATGTACACCACAAGTGACGTCAAATGAGAAAAGTCAACTGACCTTTCTTAATTCCTACCGAGATTTCGTCTGACATCAATCTATCAAAGATCATGAGACTACCAAAATAAATGGAGTGGTCAACACACTCAATTATTTCACTCCCTACCCCTAGTCCAGGCGTTGACCCAAACCGGCCTTGAAGTAACATTTTTCATTTGGATGGAGAGAAAAGAAGCCCAAACATCCTTGCACTGTTCCATAAGGTGGTTAGAAGACTGTTATTTTTAGAGCACCTTAACCAAACAAACCACATCAACTGCGTATTCTAAATCAGTAAGTATATCTCTTGGAAAAAGATTGATTCCTGATAATTCAGACGATGAAAGTATCATCTCTAAAAAATGTCTGAAACAAGGTTAAAAAAAGTAAATCCTTAATATCCTCCAAATAGCCTGGTACGAACAAGAGTGGGGAAAGTCAGCTCTCTCTCGAGATGCTCTCACATGGCCACGCGTATATAGCCTCTGCCAGGGAAGTTCTACCCATTGTCTTCTCACGGCATTACTATTGTTTACGAAAATGAGAGGACGAAAAGCGAATGTCAGGCGCTTTCACCGGGTTGGTGGACATGGAGAGTCCACCTAAGAGTTGGAAAACCCTGATTCCAAACCAATGGTGTACATGGGCTCCAGTATCCTGAAGGAACAAATGGCGTACGAACCAACTATTGGTCACCGGCTACCATGGGACTGAATATCTTGATGTTGCTCCACTGCTTTGTGGATCAGACCTTCAGGTAGAAGGCTACCGGCGTGGCCCCCTGAGAAAACCACCTGCTTCGGTTTGGGCACCTGGGCAGTATCACAGCCCCCACATAAATCGAATGATTTATGTGGCGCATATGTATTTGGTGCCTCCTTGTGCCAACATATATGTGTTCAAATAAATAAATAAACTTCTTTAATACTCCAGAGGCTTATGCTGACATCTCATTCAGATTTCTTGTTAAATTAAGCAATTAGAAAGTAGCCAAACTTTTCTCCTACATGCATTTTCATTGTTTTTACCTATGCTCCTACTAACCGCAGCCGGTTTGAAGTGAAAGATGAATTTTACAGAAAGCTATCTGAACTTCTTCAGAAAGCTAAACACTCAGATATAGTACTCGTAGCAGGTGACTTTAATGCCCAGATAGGTAGTTTAAACCAAACAGAAAGGCATTTAGGTGGGCATTTCAGTATTCCGGCACAACGAACAGATAATGGTGGTCGTCTGCTGCAACTGTGCTCAGACAATCGTTTATTCTTAGCAAACACAAATTTTAAGCATAAAGAGAGACATCGTCTAACATGGCGACCCCCTACACCAAACCAACGATGGACTCAAACAGACCATATTGCCATCAGTCATCGTTGGAGAGAGTTGATCAAAGATTGCCGCTCATTCTGGTGTACCTGCTTGGACTCCGACCATGCCCTAATACGGGCACGCACCTGCTTGCGCCTCACTGGACGCAAAAAAGCCACACTAAAAAGAACCCTTTAGAACTGGATTGAGTAGCGAGAAAACCAAAAGTAGGTTCCAGGAACAACTGAGGTCACAATTAGATAGTTCTGAAAACAAGGTTGACCCAGATGTTGCTTGGAAAGATATACAAACAACTGTGAAAACAGCCGTGACATCTATCAGTGATTTAAACCACAGGGTTACAAAGAACCAATAGATTTCTTCAAGGTCTATTGCACTGATGGATTCTCGTAAACTCATTCCATCAGGCTCTGAACACGATGAAGAGCAAAAACAAATCAGATCTAGGTTAACCAAAAGTTTAAGGAACGACCGTGAGCAGTGATGGTCAACGAAAACAAAAGAGATGGAAAAGGCAGCGGCTGTAGGTAACACCAGACAGCTCTACAGACTAATAAAAGAAACTGGAATTAATAAGTCAAGTGTAAGTCAAACTATTTCGGAAAAAGACGACACTCATCTGCTTCCAGTCCAGACGTTTAGGACGATGGACGGAACATTTCAGAGAACAGTTCAGCTGGCCTTCAGCTACTCTACAACTACCCTCCATTCCCAGACAGTGTGAATGGAACATTGAAGTAGGTCCCCCAACTCTAGCAGAAGTTCAAAAGGCTATAGTTAATCTGAAACGAGGAAGGGTAGCTGGTCCAGATGGATTGGCTCCAGAAGTCTTTAAGGATGGTGGTCCAATTTTAGCGATTAGGTTGACTAATATTTTAGCTAAGATCTGGGAGTTAGACGTTATTCCATCTGACTGGTCACAATCACTTATCGTCCAAATATATAAGAGAGGGTTAAAATCATCCTGTGACAACCATAGAGGGATTAGTTTAACTAATATAGTATCTAAAATACTAGCCTCGATAATTATCAGACGCCTAACTAAGACTCGTGAACTGCAAACACGAGAGAATCAAACTGGCTTCAGACCTGGTCGTGGCTGCATCGACCACATATTCACCATTCGTCAGGTTCTAGAACATAGGCATACTTATCGGTGTCCGACAATGGTGGTCTTTCTTGACTTAAAAGCAGCATTTGACTCCGTAGATCGCGAGATTCTGTGACAGTGTTGTCATTGAAAGGCGTACCTCAGAAGTACATAAACCTTGTGAAGGCTCTTTACTCGAACACTGCCAGTCGAGTCAGAGCTTATGGCGAACTGTCATCTGATTTTGCAACCTCAAGTGGTGTCCGTCAAGGCTGTCCACTTTCTCCATTTTTGTTTAACTTCATTATAGACCTACTGATGGAAATAACATTCTCGTCTACTGAATTCCCGGGCATTGATCTCCTTCCAGGAGGTCCACTTATCGACTTAGAATACACAAATAACATAGTCCTGTTTGGTTAAGACGCTGATAAAATGCAGTCTTTTGGTAGCACTAAGCAACAATGCCAGAATGTTTGGGATGAGCTTCTCTCCCTCTAAATGCAAGTTGTTGCTTCAGGGCTGGTCTGGGTCAACACCTGAACTAAGGATAGGGAGTGAAGTAGTTGAACGCGTCGACAACTTCACTTATCTTGGAAGTCTGATCAGCCCTAATGGGCTGGTATCGGACGAAATCTCAGCACGGATTCGAAAAGCTCGTTTGACGTTTGCCAACTTACGTCACCTATTGCGAAGGCGAGATATCCGTCCATCAATTAAGGGACGAGTATAGTGCGCAGCAGTTCGTTCTGTTCTACTTCACGCTATCGCGTCTACTGACATCTAATTCAGATTACTTGATAAAGGCAAGCAACTGGAGAGTAACCAAACTCTTCCCCTAAATGCTCTGTTTATCGTTCTAGTCATCTAAATTGATAGTGGATCATTGTGGCATCCTTCTCAGAAACAGTCTCACTAACATGAATATTTTACACCTGTCTTATGTTTCTTAGAAGTTGTCTACAGTTGCTTATCACCACCGTCGCCACAGCCACCTTTTCCATTGCTGTTGCCTTAGCTGCCAAACAACTCCGTCTGTAGCTCTCCCAGAGTTACTGCCGGTCCCAAGCCCGGGTAAAGGAGAAGGGTTGGGCATGGGGTTAGCGTCCCCATCCCGTAGAAAACTAACTCGCTAAAAAAACGCTTACCAGAAAAAATAATTCAAACCATTTAAACTCTGCCCTGAAAGTTAGAAGGTCTTCATTTAGAAGAATTAGGACGCTTCATGGTGAAAGCCGAGGTACTTCGGAAGCCACGAGGCCGACGCCCCTTCTAACAACCAGAGCAACAATTTCTGTAGGTACATGGAACGTCCGGAGAATGTGGGAGACCGGGAGGACTAGTCAAATAGCAACGGGAATGAGGAGATACAAATTGGCAACACCGTGACTCAGCGAAATCCATTGGATCCGGGCTGGACAACAAAGGTTAAATACGGGAGAGATGCTACTATACTCCGGTCATGAAGAAGAAAATGCTCCGCACATTCAGAGAGTTGCTCTAATGCTGTCCAAAGTAGCACGAAATGCACTTGTAGGATGGGAATCTCACGGATCCAGAATGATCAAAGCATCATTCAAAACAAAGAAGGAGGGGATCACAATGAATATTATCCAATGTTATGCACCCATCAATGATAGCAACGACGACATTAAAGATCAATTCTACGAGCAGCTGCGGTCAATCATAGAGAAGTGCCCAAGAAAGAACCTCACCATTCTGATGGGAGATCTAAATGCCAAAGTTGGAATAGACAACACCGGATATGAAGATATCATGGGACGACATGGACTGGGAGAAAGAAACGAAAATGGAGAAAGATTTGCAAATCTGTGTGCATTCAACAAATTGGTCATAGGAGGCACAATATTTCCACACAAACGTATACACAAAGCTACATGGATCTCACCGGACCACACCACAGAGAACCAGATAGATTATATCTGCATCAATGAAAAATTCCGAAGGACAATGGAAAATGTGAGAACCAGGAGAGGTGCTGATGTAGCTTCAGATCACCACCTAGTTGTGGCCAATCTAAAACTGAAGCTAAAAAAGAACTGGGCAAGTGGACAAACAGCACTACAAAAGTTCAATACAGCCTTCCTTCGAGATACTAACAAACTCAATGAATTCAAGATAGCTCTCAACAACAGGTTTCAAGCCTTACAGGATATAATGACAGAAGAAGAAACTACTATGGAGGATAACTGGAAAAGTATCAAAGAAGCATTAACTTCAACGTGTCAAGAGTTTATGGGTCTAAAGAAGCACCATCATAAGGAACGGATCTCTATAGAATCACTGGACAAGATCAAAGAAAGGAAGAACAAGAAGACAGCAATTAACAACAGCCGAACACGAACAGAGAAAGTCCAAGCACGAGCTGAATGCATAGAAGCAAACAAGCAAGTGAAGAAAAGCATTAGAGCCGATAAGAAGAAATACGTGGAAGAACTAGAAACGACGGCGGAAAAAGCTGCAAGGGAAGGAAATATGAAACAACTTTACGATACAACGAAGAAACTACCACGGAAATACAGTAAACCAGGGAGACCGGTCAAGGACAAAGAAGGTAGACCAATGACTGAAATTCAACAACAGCGGAACAGATGGGTAGAGTACTTGGAGGAACTCCTGAGTAAGCAGGCTCCAATGAATCCACCGGACATCGAAGCAGCGCACACAGATCTTCCTATAGATGTCAATCCACCAACGACGGAAGAGATCAGAATGGCCATCAGACAAATCAAGAGAGGGAAAGCAGCAGGACCCGACAATATACGAGCTGAAGCACTGAAGTTAGACATTGAAGCAAATACAAACATGCTTCACCGTCTATTCAAAAAGATTTGGGAGGAGGAACAAGTGCCGATGGACTGGAAAGAAGAACACCTCATCAAGATTCCAAAGAAAGGAGACCTGAGCAAACGTGAAAACTACAGAGGCATTACACTACTGTCAGTACCAGGAAAAGTCTTTAACAGAGTTTTGCTGAGCCGGATGAAAGATGCAGTAGATGCCCAACTTCGAGATCAACAAGCTGGATTCTGTAAAGATCGGTCGTGCACAGACCAAATTGCAACACTACGGATCATCGTCGAACAATCAATTGAGTGGAACTCGTCACTGTACATCAACTTCATTGATTATGAAAAGGCATTTGACAGTGTGGATAGGAGAACGTTGTAGAAACTTCTTCGACACTACGGAGTTCCTGAGAAGATTGTCAATATTATCCGGAAGTCATATGACGGACTACAGTGCAAGGTCGTGCATGGAGGACAGTTGACAGATGTATTCCAAATAAGGACCGGAGTCAGACAAGGCTGTCTACTCTCTCCCTTCCTCTTTCTTCTGGTGGTCGACTGGATTATGAAGACCTCGACACCTGAGGGAAAACACGGAATACAATGGACAGCTCAGATTCAATTAGAGGATTTGGAATTTGCAGATGACCTAGCCCTCCTATCGTATACACATGAACAAATGCAGACAAAGACAGACAGTGAAGCAGCAGTCTCTGCATCAGTAGGCCTCAACATACACAAGGGGAAAACCAAGGTCCTCAAATTCAACACGGAGAACACCAATCCAATCACTCTTGATGGCGAAACTCTGGAAGCTGTAGAATCCTTCACATACCTGGGAAGCATAATCGATGAACAAGGAGGTTCAGATGCAGACGTAAATGCGAGGATTGGCAAGGCGAGGGCCGCATTCCTACAATTGAAGAACATATGGAACTCAAAACAACTTTCAGCCAATATCAAAGTGAGAGTCTTCAATACGAATGTCAAGGCAGTTCTACTGTACGGAGCTGAAACTTGGAGAATTACAACAACCATCATCAAGAAGGTGCAAGTATTTATAAATAGCTGTCTACGCAAGATACTCAACATCCATTGGCCGGATACCATCAGCAACAGCCTTTTGTGAGAGAGAACAAACCAGCTTGCAAAAGAGAAAATTAGGAAGAGACGATGAAAATGGATAGGACATACATTAGGGAAACCACCAAACTGTATCACGAGACAAGCCCTAACTTGGAATCCCGAAGGAAGGCGGAAAAGAGGAAGGCCAAAGAAAACATTACGTCGGGAAATAAAAGCAGATATGGAAAGGATGAATAACAACTGGAAGGAGCTCGAAATGATTGCCCGGGACGAGGTTGGATCGATTACTCTGGTGAGCGGCTTATGCTCCTTTACGAGGAGTAACAGGCGTAAGTAAGTGTCTGCCAAACACTCCCCATGGTCATTGTGCAGACTCATTGTCAGTCTATGCTTAAGTTGGCTTTGTTCTTCACCACAATCAAAGCAAAACAGGATGAGTTTCAGAGCAACTTTCGGTTTATTAAATGATAAGGAAATCGATTAATGTTTCTTAACCTTTTGGTTGAAGTTACCGGTAGATATTACTGCTGTTTTCACGACTACCTAGATGATATGCCAGCCCAAATCGGGGTGGACATCATTCTCATAGTTGATTAACTGCTCTTCTAATTGTTCTTGAAACATTCTCGACATGTTCGTACTTATTTTGTACTCTGCAGGGTCCTTTTATTGCAGCTTTTCTGAGCCTAGCAGGACGCAAATAAACGTGTTCGCAACAAGCATGATTAGAGTCAAGAAATGTGCTTCATAGTGATCGGCAGTCTTAAGAATTGATGGAGGAATTTAATCGTGAGCACGAGCATCTCGGATGCCACTAAGGCTATCACTTCCCAGTTGTCCATATCGTGGAAAAATATATCTGCTCGGGAGACCTGAAAAGGAAATTGAGTTGGTAGTTGTCGTGGAGACTTGTGAGCATCACCGCAGAGTCCAAGAGACAACTGCTTGAGAGGAGACACACACGCCCTTCCTGTCAGAAGTTTGCAATGTGTTAGCTCCGTGCTTTAGAGGCCCCCACTGCCGGAGAGGGAGATCCGTGGGGTAAGGTGAGGTGGAACTCTGTTAGGATCGAGCTTTCCTAACCTCTTCAGTTGTAAGAAGCCAGCATCACTGAAAGTGTTGTCAGGCTGAGAGAAACACATTACCGCTGTCACACTTCAGTAAGACCACCACCAGCACTACTTTGCCCTCGGACTATGAGTATACTTCTATTAGTCTGACAGGTTTATGGCCGACCTACTTGGCATGGTAGGACTTAAAGGAATATTTGTTTCGGTCAACATAGCCCGATCGGATCACTACAAGAGGCAAATCCGATCTCCACCTCAAGATAGCAGCTACGATCTGGATATAGGTGCTTCTAGATGATGATTTATAAATAGGATGAAAATGGCGTTATGAATTCTACTACTAGTCAATATTTCACGCAAAACAAATGGACACCGCTTACGTATACCTCATTTATAAAAATACATCTAACCGGAAAATAAAAGACAGAAAGTGTGTTGGATTCACCTGGACAGTGACTACCCCACTGTGAAGTACTCAGTAAATCAAACAAGCCTCGAGTTTTATTAACTTCAGAGGACAAAAATTGGCGTTTCTGGTGATAAACATTGTGTAATTTAGTTTCCTGTTCATTTGTGCCCATTTCGTTTGATGTTATAGTTGATTTTGGCAATGACTGACCGTTTAATTCATACACAGAGTAAAGAGAAAGTGCAGTTAAACGAGATCGTAGTAAACCAACAGCTTCAGGAGATGACGGATTGATTAATCTGAAAGGCGAGGTTTGTAAAGAATGACCCGTCGAAGGTAAATACCAGGAATTCCATAAGTGTATAACAGCTTCCACACCTTTATCCAGCATGGTTTGGTGAATTTCGACCAACTGATCAGAAAGTGTTGATCGAATTCCATGAGTTCTACATTCTAATGGGGCCTGGAATAAAAGTGACCAATATTTGTTACTCGTTTATGACATAAACTTTGACAATGAAAGGATAATGTTATATTTGGTAAAACACATTTAATGCTTAAATTCTCAATTTATAATAATATAGGTATCATTATGAGCTGAAATCTAGCTTCATCCATCTGCACTTGAGGGACAATATTGTAGTATCACTAGTCTTAACATATCATGTGTAATTCAGTCATCAATTGACATGGAAATTTTATTGTTTCTTCCAAATACTACATCCGTATTAACAGACATAGACTTTCTGAGAAAGGATATATTTTATTATTACTTATATCCGTCTGCCCAGATAACTACGGATATGAATTTGAATTAGAAAATATCACAATTTCGGATAGAGGAAAAAGTACCGAATAACCTTCAGAAGCAATACGTTCAGAACAATCTACAAAATCAATAGACATATCAATATTGATTAAACTTATAATTCGACACGGAAAATGTCAACCAAATAAAACAGTCAACACAGGAGTGGTAACAAAACTTGCGAATGTTGAACTTGATAGTTTCAAATAAATTGAGCATTGAATAGAAAGTTAATGACAAATGTATTTTTTATATACTAATAAGTAGAAAATTATATTTCTGACGTTTCGTGACTTGAAGTGAGCCACGTCTTCAGAATAAATAAATAACTGAGTTAAATCAACACAAGTTTAAATAGTACAGAGGATACAATGTCAGAAGCACAATTTTCTACTCATTGGGATATAGCAAAAAATATGTTTATCATTAAAATCTGAGATGATGACTGGCTACAAATAAGGTCAACAGAACAAACTGATCTAGTACTTATCGAATAATTTTTAAAAAGCTCACTTCTACTGATGACTATGTTTAAAACAGCAACGAGAGTTCGACAAATAAATCATACAGCTTGAAGAAAGTAACACCATCAAAAAACATCCATTCAAGCTATACATCTCCATCACATCCAACTACGTCAACAAACTGTAGCTGACCTCTTCTGAAAATTAATTTTCCAAAAACCATATAAAATTGTCAACCCACACAAAACAAGTCTGGTTTAAAGTCAAGTGTAAAATTATGCAATTGGTTTTATTTATGTCTCACCCTATGTTGATCAATACTAAACGAATCAATTAAAGCGACAAGCGACAATAATAATAATAAAAAAGATGATAAACTAGTTTATTACCTCAATTTTTTCCAAAGACTTAGAAATATCTACTTCCTTGGCATTGTTTACACTGGGGATTAAAAAAAAAACGACAGAAAGAAACCTTTATTAGTATTCAAATGAACTTTTGTAAAAATAAGAAGAAAAGTGGTAGAGGAGGAAATAATGGCTACTGAAGTCAATGACGATAATCATAAAAGCTTAAGTGATCTTCAATATACGTCTGCAACTATATAATACAATGTCATTTTAAGTAATTTCCTATTATCAAAAGCTATAAATAAAGTGAGAATAACACGTTTTGCAGAATACAATGAATTCAATCAGTCAGTCAGCTACAACGTAGGACCAGGCACATATGTGCATCGGTCCAGGTTGCCATACCTCATTAGCACAGCAAGATGAACAGCGGATTCATAGGAGTGGTTAGGTCAAAGGTTGCAATAAGGATATAGTATAGTAAGAAAGAATTAGTTCGTAGACAGAAAGAATGAAGTTATTTTAGTCTCTTAATTTAAGGGAAGACAGAGAGTGTATACACCGACGCCATTGTGATCGATTCTGAGCCATGTCACCAAGAGTCTCCAACCATTGGTTACGAAAGTCACGCGGACCCCAACCAAGTAGTCTGCATCTACCAACATGGCTCAGACTAGAAGTTAGTGACTTCAAGCACTAATGCCACGTTTTGGTTTGGCCGCCCCTAACTTTCTTCCAACCATCCCTTGCCCCGGTTAGCATTGCACGTCGTGGTAATCGGTGTTCAGGCATACGTATTACGTGGCCCAACCATCTCAGTCGATGAAGATTCATAACCTCATCAACTGATTTACCATCATTCCCTAATACCCTGCGTCTAACCTCACTATTACTTACCCGGTGATCCCAGCAGATGCCAGCAATATTTCTAAGGCATCTGTGGTCAAATACTAGTAACTTACGGGTGTCTTCTACTCTTAAGGGCCATGTTTCGCTGCCGTAAAGTAAAACAGAACGAACTGCTGCGCACTATACTCGTCCCTTAATTGATGGACGGATATCTCGCCTTCGCAATAGGTGACGTAAGTTGGCAAACGTCAAACGAGCTTTTCGAATCCGTGCTGAGATTTCGTCCGATACCAGCCCATTAGGGCTGATCAGACTTCCAAGATAAGTGAAGTTGTCGACGCGTTCAACTACTTCACTCCCTATCCTTAGTTCAGGTGTTGACCCAGACCAGCACTGAAGCAACAACTTGCATTTAGAGGGAGAGAAGCTCATCCCAAACATTCTGGCATTGTTGCTTAGTGCTACCAAAAGACTGCATTTTATCAGCGTCTTAACCAAACAGGACTATGTTATTTGTGTATTCTAAGTCGATAAGTGGACCTCCTGGAAGGAGATCAATGCCCGGGAATTCAGTAGACGAGAATGTTATTTCCATCAGTAGGTCTATAATGAAGTTAAACAAAAATGGAGAAAGTGGACAGCCTTGACGGACACCACTTGAGGTTGCAAAATCAGATGACAGTTCGCCATAAGCCCTGACTCGACTAGTAGTGTTCGAGTAAAGAGCCTTCACAAGGTTTATGTACTTCTGAGGTAATTTGATGTCATCTCATAGCTCCTTATAAGCTAATCAGTTCATTAAACTTGGAATTTTAATGAACATGAAGAGCAGTATACTGTCTCGAAAGTAAACTTGTAGAGTAGTATAATTAAGTACGCTTTTAATGGAGGTTTACATTTGTAATTGGAACGATAGTTTTATGAGTTTTTGAAACCATAACTTTATGGCGTTATATCATCAGGGAAAATTCTAAGGATATGTGACTATAAAAATGCTCTTAGTTCAAATAACTGATATTTAGAATTAAAAGGAGGAACAAAGTTGTTGATAATGATCAGTTCTGACACTAAAACAGTTGAAAGTCAACTAATGATTCCATTCCCCCAAATGTCTGGGTACGAACGAGAGTGGGGAAAGTCAGCTCTCTCTCGAGATGCTCTCACATGGCCACGCGTATATAGCCTCTGCCAGGGAAGTTCTACCCATTGTCTTCTCACGGCATTACTATTGTTTACGAAAATGAGAGGACGAAAAGCGAATGTCAGGCGCTTTCACCGGGTTGGTGGACATGGATCTAAGGGAAGATAAAGAGTGAATGCACCTGTGCCATCAAGATATGTCATTCAAAGTCTCTAACCACTGGTTAAGTTAATCACGTATACCCCATCCAGGTCGTCTGCATCCATCTCTATATGGTTCAGTTCAATAGTCAATATTTTCATGGACCGATACCGTGTACTTGGTTTTCCACTCCCAGCTTCCTTCCAACATACTCCTACATCATCCAGAATCATGTGTCGAGGTAGTCGGTCGATGGACAAACGTAATATATGTTCCAACCTTCTCACCCGAAAAGGTTTCACTACCTCGTCAGTCAATTTACCATACCCATCTAGTATTCTGCGTCGAACCTTAGAACTGTTAATTCAGTTGTCCCAAAGTATACGAGCAATCGTTCAAAGACACCATCGATCGAATACTAGAAACCTACTAACATTCTCTATTTTTAAAGGTCATATTTCACACCCGTAAAGTAGAACAGAACAAATTTCTATGCAGTATACTCGTCCTTCTGTTGACAAATGGATATCTCATGTACACCACAAGTGACGTCAAATGAGAAAAGTCAACTGACCTTTCTTAATTCCTACCGAGATTTCGTCTGACATCAATCTATCAAAGATCATGAGACTACCAAAATAAATGGAGTGGTCAACACACTCAATTATTTCACTCCCTACCCCTAGTCCAGGCGTTGACCCAAACCGGCCTTGAAGTAACATTTTTCATTTGGATGGAGAGAAAAGAAGCCCAAACATCCTTGCACTGTTCCATAAGGTGGTTAGAAGACTGTTATTTTTAGAGCACCTTAACCAAACAAACCACATCAACTGCGTATTCTAAATCAGTAAGTATATCTCTTGGAAAAAGATTGATTCCTGATAATTCAGACGATGAAAGTATCATCTCTAAAAAATGTCTGTAACAAGGTTAAAAAAAGTAAATCCTTAATATCCCCCAAATAGCCTGGTACGAACAAGAGTGGGGAAAGTCAGCTCTCTCTCGAGATGCTCTCACATGGCCACGCGTATATAGCCTCTGCCAGGGAAGTTCTACCCATTGTCTTCTCACGGCATTACTATTGTTTACGAAAATGAGAGGACGAAAAGCGAATGTCAGGCGCTTTCACCGGGTTGGTGGACATGGAGAGTCCACCTAAGAGTTGGAAAACCCTGATTCCAAACCAATGGTGTACATGGGCTCCAGTATCCTGAAGGAACAAATGGCGTACGAACCAACTATTGGTCACCGGCTACCATGGGACTGAATATCTTGATGTTGCTCCACTGCTTTGTGGATCAGACCTTCAGGTAGAAGGCTACCGGCGTGGCCCCCTGAGAAAACCACCTGCTTCGGTTTGGGCACCTGGGCAGTATCACAGCCCCCACATAAATCGAATGATTTATGTGGCGCATATGTATTTGGTGCCTCCTTCTCAGTCAGCTACAACGTAGGACCAGGCACATGTATGCATCGTTCCAAGTTGCCATACCTCACATCAACACAACAAGATGGACACCGGATTCATAAAAGTAGTTAATTCAGAGGTGGTAATATATAAAAGGAAGACTGCGATAAGGATATAGTATAGGAAGAAAGAATTAGTTCGTAGACAGAAAGAATGAAGTTATTTTAGTCTCTTAATTTAAGGGAAGACAGAGAGTGTATACACCGACGCCATTGTGATCGATTCTGAGCCATGTCACCAAGAGTCTCCAACCATTGGTTACGATAGTCACGCCGACTCAAACCAAGTAGTCTGCATCAACCAACATGGCTCAGACTAGAAGTTAGTGACTTCAAGCACTAATGCCACGTTTTGGTTTGGCCATCCCTAACTTCCTTCCAACCATACCCAACATTAGTCACAGCATTGCGCGTGAGGTAGTCGGTGTTCGGAGATACGTGGCACGTGACTCAACCATCTCAATTGATAAAGATTTGCAACCCCATCAACTGACTCACCATCATTCCCTTATACCCTGCGTCTAACCTCACTATTACTTACCCGGTGATCCCAGCAGACGCCAGCAATATTTCTGAGGCACCTGTGGTCAAATACTAGTAGCTTATGAGTGTCTTCTACTCTTAATGGCCATGTTTCGCTGCCGTAAATTAAAACAGAACGGACTGTCGCGCAGTATACTCGTCCTTTTATTGATAAACGGATATCTTGCCTTTGCCATGGGTGACGTAAGTTGGCAAAAGTCAAACGGGCATTTTATCAGCGTCTTAACCAAACAGGACTATGTTATTTGTGTATTCTAAGTCGATAAGTGGACCTCCTGGAAGGAGATCAATGCCCGGGAATTCAGTAGACGAGAATGTTATTTCCATCAGTAGGTCTATAATGAAGTTAAACAAAAATGGAGAAAGTGGACAGCCTTGACGGACACCACTTGAGGTTGCAAAATCAGATGACAGTTCGCCATAAGCCCTGACTCGACTAGTAGTGTTCGAGTAAAGAGCCTTCACAAGGTTTATGTACTTCTGAGGTACGCCTTTCAATGACAACACTGTCACAGAATCTCGCGATCTACGGAGTCAAATGCTGCTTTTAAGTCAAGAAAGACCACCATTGTCGGACACCGATAAGTATGCCTATGTTCTAGAACCTGACGAATGGTGAATATGTGGTCGATGCAGCCACGACCAGGTCTGAAGCCAGTTTGATTCTCTCGTGTTTGCAGTTCACGAGTCTTAGTTAGGCGTCTGATAATTATCGAGGCTAGTATTTTAGATACTATATTAGTTAAACTAATCCCTCTATGGTTGTCACAGGATGATTTTAACCCTCTCTTATATATTTGGACGATAAGTGATTGTGACCAGTCAGATGGAATAACGTCTAACTCCCAGATCTTAGCTAAAATATTAGTCAACCTAATCGCTAAAATTGGACCACCATCCTTAAAGACTTCTGGAGCCAATCCATCTGGACCAGCTACCCTTCCTCGTTTCAGATTAACTATAGCCTTTTGAACTTCTGCTAGAGTTGGGGGACCTACTTCAATGTTCCATTCACACTGTCTGGGAATGGAGGGTAGTTGTAGAGTAGCTGAAGGCCAGCTGAACTGTTCTCTGAAATGTTCCGTCCATCGTCCTAAACGTCTGGACTGGAAGCAGATGAGTGTCGTCTTTTTCCGAAATAGTTTGACTTACACTTGACTTATTAATTCCAGTTTCTTTTATTAGTCTGTAGAGCTGTCTGGTGTTACCTACAGCCGCTGCCTTTTCCATCTCTTTTGTTTTCGTTGACCATCACTGCTCACGGTCGTTCCTTAAACTTTTGGTTAACCTAGATCTGATTTGTTTTTGCTCTTCATCGTGTTCAGAGCCTGATGGAATGAGTTTACGAGAATCCATCAGTGCAATAGACCTTGAAGAAATCTATTGGTTCTTTGTAACCCTGTGGTTTAAATCACTGATAGATGTCACGGCTGTTTTCACAGTTGTTTGTATATCTTTCCAAGCAACATCTGGGTCAACCTTGTTTTCAGAACTATCTAATTGTGACCTCAGTTGTTCCTGGAACCTACTTTTGGTTTTCTCGCTACTCAATCCAGTTCTAAAGGGTTCTTTTTAGTGTGGCTTTTTTGCGTCCAGTGAGGCGCAAGCAGGTGCGTGCCCGTATTAGGGCATGGTCGGAGTCCAAGCAGGTACACCAGAATGAGCGGCAATCTTTGATCAACTCTCTCCAACGATGACTGATGGCAATATGGTCTATTTGAGTCCATCGTTGGTTTGGTGTAGGGGGTCGCCATGTTAGACGATGTCTCTCTTTATGCTTAAAATTTGTGTTTGCTAAGAATAAACGATTGTCTGAGCACAGTTGCAGCAGACGACCACCATTATCTGTTCGTTGTGCTGGAACACTGAAATGCCCACCTAAATGCCTTTCTGTTTGGTTTAAACTACCTATCTGGGCATTAAAGTCACCTGCTACGAGTACTATATCTGAGTGTTTAGCTTTCTGAAGAAGTTCAGATAGCTTTCTGTAAAATTCCTCTTTCACTTCATCCGAGCTGCAGTCGGTGGGAGCGTGGGCAGAAACGACAAAAAGGCAACGACGTGTGTCCCTATCCTTCCAAATTCTTACGAAACTGTTTAGCTGAAGAGCATATAAACAACTGTTAGCTGGGATCCAGTCTAATAGTGCTTGTTCCGCCCTCATGCTTAGTGCTATCCCCACACACTATCACCACACTGGGATCCTGTTTGCATGTTTCAGAGTCATAGCACACATCAATGGTACGGGAATACAGGGTTCTAGCCAAGGAAGCCTGCTGACCGATTTGACATAGGGTGCGTACGTTAAAGGCTTCAATGTGTAGTTTGGAGCGAGGTTGCAATATACTTGGGACAGTGGTTTGCGCATTAGAATCGTTGGCTATGGTGACACTTGAGGAGGAAACCGAAAGAGGAAGTTTAGCGTTGTAAGTCGATGTAGGAGAAATAACAGGAATTGAAGAGGGAGGTTGATTATGAATACAGTGGTCCTGCTAGAGGCATAAGGGCGGTTATCACTTCCCGGTTGCCCACAGTGTGGAAGGGTTTTTCTGGAGGTACCTGAAAAGGAAATTGGATTACAGGTGGTCTTAGTGACCCGGGAGCGGAGACGGATATACGTGGGATAAGACGAGGCGTGCATTTTTAGGGTTGACCTTTTCTAACCCCACCCCTCCTTGTGGGAAGGCAGCATCGCTGTCATGCTGGTTGTCTGAAGGAAACATCTTACTGCTGTCACACCTCTGTATTTATTTATTTATTTTAACACATAGATATTGGTACAAGGAGGCACCAAATACATATGCGCCACAAAAATCTCATTCAATGTGTGAAGGCTGTGATACTGCCCGGGTGCCCAAACCGAAGCAGGTGGTTTTCTTAGGGAGTCACATCCGGAGCCATTCGACCTAAAAGTCTGATCCACAAGGCAGTAGAGCATCGTAAGGAGATGCAGTCCCATGGAAGCCGGTGACCAACAATTGGTTCATACGCCATTTGTTCCTTCAGGATACTGGAGTCCATGTGCACCATTGATTTGGAATCCGGTTAAAGCGCCGGACATTCGCTTTTCGTCCTCTCATTTTTGTAAACAACACCCCCGCCACGAGAAGGCAGTGAGTAGGACTGCCCTGGCAGAGGCTACATACGCGTGGCCACGTGAGAACATTTCGAGAGGGAGAGCGGACTCTCCCCACTCTCGGCCGTATCAGGGCATTTGGGGGCAGTACGACTTCGCCTTCGGACCTTGGGTTTGTTGCTTTTAGTCTTACCGCTCTTCAGCCGACCTGTCTGACATGGTAGGACCTTGAGGAACGGATGTTCCAGTCAGTATAGCTCGGTTGCTTCATCACGATAAGTAAGCCCGACCACCACGTCAAGGTAGCAACAACAGTCGGGGCCTCCTTGTGCCAATATATGTGTTCAAATAAATAATGAAGATTGATGTTTGACCTTCTAACTACTCCGACCTTTGTAAATCACAGTAAGGTAAGATAATACCATTTGTTTGCTTTTTACTTTGAATGCACTTATCCACATCGTGTCTTTTGTTCAACATGTGAGGTGCACAATGAAATATTATCCTGGCCTACAAAACCTAAGCTCTTCTGGAAATATTCAGAAGACAATGGGAATACCCTGATTCCTACCCCTCGGTTGTACTTAATTTCTAAGTACACGTAAATTGATGTATACAGCTGGAGGTAAAATCTGACAAGTAATTATCTACCAGTGTTGGCATTACTGAACATTGGATAGTATAAAGCAATACTAATCTCATTGAACGAAGTTTATTCCTGAGTGTTATTTTTCGAAAACATGGTAATTCAAACACAATTGTAGTGATCATATAATATATAATAGACTTTTTGTAAGGACGAAAAGTTCCTATTTTTAGATAAAACCATCTTAGACAACATACATTTTAAATATGAATCAAATGGGAAAAACCAACTTCTAAAGAACTTACAAGTTAGCCACTTTCTCAATTAAATGTGAGTCGATTATTTGTGGAACAGTTAACAAGATTTGATGAAGTAGTTCAAGCATTTTACTATTATTAACCCAACGAGATAGTAGCGATTCTATCACTAAATTGACAGCTCCTCCGTTAGCAATAAATTCTGCATTTTCAGTTACTAAATTCATCTACAAATTCAAGGAGAAAAAACCAACAAAATAGTAAGTCATGGAAAACCTGAAAGCACTGGACGGCCGTTCCGTTCTAGTATGGAACTCTTCAGCAGTGCGCATCCACGATTCCGCCCCCCGCGAGATCCGAACCCAGGACCTACCAGTCTCGCGCCAAGCGTTTAACCAACTAGACCACTGGGCTGACTGGCATCCAACGGTGTTAATGTCTAACTTCAACCAATCCACAAAGTTGAGTCACCGTACACCATTGTTTTCAGTAAGTTGATATATCACAACAGACCTGGTTGAACTCTACTGGTCACGGCTTCCAGGATTTCCATGGTGGTCTAGCTTCAATCGACTCATGATTTCAACCAGTGAAATTTCTAAAATCTCCACAAAACCCCTTCTGATAATAGTCATCTGCTCACTAGTGACTGGCTTCAAGAGATACTCCTGGAGTTCTAGTGAAAAGCCGTTACCAGTGGAGTTCAACCAGGTCTGTTGTGATATATCAACTTACTGAAAACAATGGTGTACGGTGACTCAACTTTGTGGATTGGTTGAAGTTAGACATTAACACCGTTGGATGCCAGTCAGCCCAGTGGTCTAGTTGGTTAAACGCTTGGCGCGAGACTGGTAGGTCCTGGGTTCGGATCTCGCGGGGGGCGGAATCGCGGATGCGCACTGCTGAAGAGTTCCATACTAGAACGGAACGGCCGTCCAGTGCTTTCAGGTTTTCCATGGTGGTCTAGCTTCAATTGACTCATGATTTTAACCAGTGAAAATAGTAAGTAACGAAATACTCAGTCATATGCAGAACCTGGTATATATCCGCATCTGTTCAAGTTAACCCATCACATCAACACAGTGAGATATCATTAGTATAAGCATTGGTGGTAGCAGAAAAATTAGGCACAGGGGATACAATTCGAAAAAATGTGGATTTGTGGAATAAAAAAATTAAGATTATTAAGATATTGATAATGTAAAGGAATACAAAGAGTGAATCCACCTGCACCATTGCAACAGATTCAGAACCGCCACTCAGGAGTCTCTAAACATTAGTTTTTATAGTCACGCGAACCCTAACCATATAGTCCCCATCTAACTACAAGACTTAATCTATCATGAACTAATCCCACGTTTCGGTTTGGCCGCCTCGAGACCAATTCTAAGCTACTCCTACACCAGCTATTATCGCGCGTCGTGTGCGGTGGTCAGGCAAATGTAGTACATATCGCAACAACCTTAGTCAATGAAGATTCACTACCTCACCAACCGACTTGCCACCTTTATCTGACAGCCTGAGTCTAACCTCAACATTGTTCACTCAATATATAATCATGTGAATTGTCCCAACATACTTGAGTAATACTTCGAAAGGATCAAAATGACTAATATATGAGGTATTTTGAATACGTTAACAGAAAATCTACCAGTTAATATATTCACATTTTTGTTGGGAATAGCCTAATTATACTTACATTGACTCTTTTAACACATAAACGTCTGTTCGAAGCTAGCTTTAATGACATACTAACATTAATTGGAGAATTATAACGAAGGAGAAACTGGACGGTTGATTTAATCTAAGAGACTACATTTGTAACTTTGGTCAATATGAGATAGCCTTGTACTACAGATCTAATAATCATGGGTAGACGTTGATGAGAATCCTAAAACCACAGCAAAATATCCGTCCACAGCACACTCGTCTCAATAATTTTCCAGTTGATGCCAGAAAAAGACGGATAATAAATGTGAATTGGATTATTTCCATAAGCTTCCTACTTAAAAAGTATTATTATTTAGGGCCACTAACTAATATCACATGAAAAGACCAACAATCAGAACACCGATTGCCATTACTCCGTCCCTGAGCCAACCAGTGACAGGTCAAGCAACAAGAGTAGCCTTGAATCACTGCTAAGTCCTTGTTGACTCCCGATAAAGCGACTTCCCTCCCTACGCTCCCCGTTGAGTTCAAAACACAATAATTAGCCTCCACTATAGGAATATCATATCGCAAACATACTTAGTTTATATTCAGACATACCCTACCACACCACACCATAGAACAAAAACTAACAACCCATCGTAAACCATTTGTGCATATTATCAATTGTGATTATTAAGTGAAGTTTCTGAATTACGACTTTACAAAAAGTACAACGTACGAATTTTTTGTTTTCCGCTGCCTCTCTTTCTAATGTTTTTAGTTTCTTCTTTTTATTACATCCATTCAGGTTGATATCTGCAGATGTGTTGGCCGAATCAACACCACAGTTTTCATATCGTGGGAGGACACGAGTGCGGAAAAAATCAAAAGCATTGATCTCTAACTTGGCTAATTCCAAATGTAATAGATCACACTCAGGATTTAGAGAGATTCCTTCAGTTATCAAATGACGAGCTTCCCGAATGGCATTCAGATGAGCTCTGTCCCAAGTAAGACGACGTTCTCTGACCATTTCTTTAGCTGCTTTATCTAAGGAAGCTTGATTTTCTTCTAAAATTTTTGTGTTGAAAAAAAAAGAATACTAGAGCATTTAAAAATTAAGGTACCAAAGGTAAAAATAAAAAAATTGGTGAATGATGCCAAGTCGACAACATTAAAAGGTTTTATTATTATTAATGGCTTTATCTAATATTATATTTTGGTACAATATAGAATTCTCAGCACAAGGAAGGGTGAAGTTATTGTAATAGGTCTAAATTTCACATTCTTATCACCAGATACTTTCTTGGGTACAGGGATTATCTTAATCTTTCTCCACATTTTTGGTATGAGATTAGATGGGAAGGATCTGTTAAAGATAGTCGTGAATAGATAACAAAGAACGTCAGCACATTTCCTAAAAAATGTTTGGGATAAAATCAGGTCCTAAACATCGGGATAAATTAAATGATTGGAGATATCTTAGGATATCAGTTTCAGTGAAACTAGGAACACAACTATTCTTTAGACCTGTGGATATAGGGAGCATTACATCAGATGACTGACGTACAAAAGACTTATTTAAGTCACAAACATTCAGCTGGTTATCGCTCCTAATGTGTCTGTCACCTGTAAGCTCTTTTAAGAGTTTCCACATACTTGGAGAGTTTTTACAAGACCAAGACAAGTTTTTGAGTAAACATAGAGTTGAGACGTCTAACCTCTAGGTTTATCAGACCATTTAGCTTACGAACTTCATTAGAGTTTTTCTCCTTGTACATTTTTCCTTTCACCCTCCGTAGTCGTTTTAGTTGTGAAGATGTAAGTCGATCAAAACTTACAAAAATGGTTTCAGTGGGACAACAAATATCAAAACAGAATTCAAGGTAACAAGTGATAACATCAGTAGTGATTCCCAGTGAGTCGTCTGTAAATAATTCCGTTAGTCGTATGAAACATTTTTTTCAGATTTCGAATATTTTCTTCTGAGTAATTCCTATATTTGACTTTCTTGGTTTGATGTGAGAGTGTACTCTTCCCATGCTTTCCATATACTTTAGGTAGAACATGAATTATACGGTGATCCGAGCTAGACAATGGAGCACGTTTACGAGTCACATCTATATCCACATCATTAATGAAAACGAAGTCTAAATGAGCATCCAAATGAGTAGGAAAATCTACTACATTTTGGTGACCTAGTGATGTAAGGAAACTACAGTCACATGAATTGAAATCACCGCATACAACTCAAAGTGAACCACTGAAGGTAGTAACAGCGAACTCAGTGAATTCATCAGCGAAAACAGATAACGCAGATGATGTGCAGTCTGGAGTCACGTATATGTTGGTAACACAAATATATTTGTATTTATTCAGATGTTTTGGACGGCATCTTAGAGTTAGATAGTCGATAAGTTCATTTAAAAACTTGAAACACGCAAACGTAGGTCAATAGGGAACGTAATAAGGCGAACATATTTACTGACCACATAATGTGTTTTAGTATGTTAATATATTAAGAACATTTATTATGTACATAGGAACGGTCAACCAACTAAAATTTCCAAACAAAACGCCTTACATTCAAGTTTTTCTGTTTATCTAAACCTGGTCGAAACATCATTCAGAATAGAGAGCGGACACATAAAGATGAGATGTTATTTTATTTGGCGACTTACTTAACTCTTTCATAAGCTCGTTTATTTCTTTCTTCTGTGCTTCTGATGCGTGACGATCCAATATCATATATTCACTCAGTAATCTTTTCCGCGCCTTTACCAAATCACTTTTTTGTCTGTCAAAATGTCGTAGATTTTCACGAGCTTTCGATCTAACACCATGATGTAAATGGTATGCGGCTGCAGCAATCCAAAGCCTTGGTTCTGTGCGACCATGTATCTGAAGTACATTATTCCATATACGTACAACAGACAAATGCCGGTTAATAATTTTACAAAAATGAATAAATCTCATCCAAAGGTCAAGATGAGACTGGAACCTGTAACACAATTGCTATAGAGCACATCAAGTTGTCATAGAAAAAAATTACCCGATGCAAGCGTACTAGACGACTAATAATTGACTTCTCAATCTTGTCGAGATATCTGCTATCGTTTGTAATCTAGAACATAAGTCTTATGAAAATGAATTCAACCTGGCGACGAAAGCGTAACAATTTCATTATCGTTATTTCAGTGCTAATGTAGGCGTCATAGTCTAAAATCCGTTTGTTACGCTTCTGAAGGCTGTATTCATGGTGTCTTCGTTTACGAACTATTTCACTACGGAAACGAGAAGAGGAATAAATTAATTGAGCAATAAAAGAAAAAGTAACATCGAAAAATCTCACAGAATACTTGAAGAATCAGTTCTAATTATTAATTAATTGCAAGTACTAGGTGTAAAATAAGCATAATTATGCGCTCAGGAATAAGTGAGCAAATATATTGCATGATGCGACTTCATGCGTGTTTAATACTTCCACACCCGTTTAGTGGGACTATTATGAAGCCTAATAATAATAAAACGAAGTCTTCTCGACATACTAGAAAAGTTAGTAAATACGAGATTACCTAACGTAGTATTTCTACATGTAGTTACGTCAAAAATGAGGGATAAGACAATAAAGTGATTACGATTCTATAATTTTGGGACAGAATGTCTCCATGATACAGTCTAAAACAACTTGGGCTTTATTTAATCGCCTTAAAACAATTGTTTTTTATGATAAACTGGTTCCTGATTTTCGTTATAGAAATTGACCCGATAGTTAAACAAGACATGATCTGTGCGACGTCAGAAAAAGAAACATGTTGATTTGGTGTAACCATCCTCGACTTGGTGGTGCAATATGAGCTAACTGGCTACTCTTAGTCAGTACTAATCATTAAAGGGATATACGTTGGGTATCGGTTAAACAACGTAAATTTGTAAGATTACGCATGTCGAGATAACTGTCTTCAGTAAGCTCAGAAATGGCGAGACTCTAATTTAGCGACGAGCCAATCAGAAGCGTTTGAGCAATTTCAAGGTCACGGAGCCAAGTTCAACACGCGATGCTAACATACGGTCGGTTCACAGCGGATTTTAGAGAGGAGATGATTAATGAGAGGTTAAAACAGATGGGACGGCGAAACTCTAATTTAGGGACGAGCCAATGAGAAGCGTTTGGGCAATTTCAATTATTAGCCAATCAGAAGACAGTATAAAGTAAAAATATATTACAAGAAAGTAATGAATTACAGTGGATATTCTTCTTTTACATGAGTTAAAAACTTGTTGAGGTTTGATAAAGGTTCAGAAGTTCTGAATTCATAATGCATATTGTATAGAAACTCGTCCATAGGGTTAGGGTTTGGGGTTAAGGGTTAGGTTAAGGTTAGGGTTTAGGGTTAGATTAGGGTTTAGGGCTAAGGTTAGGGTTTAGGGTTAGATTAGGGTTTAGGGTTAGATTAGGGTTTAGGGTTAGGTTAAGGTTAGGGTTTAGGGTTAGGTTAAGGTTAGGGTTTAGGTTTATGGTTAGGGTCAGGTTAGGGTTAGATTAGGGTTTAGGGCTAAGGTTAGGGTTTAGGGTTAGATTAGGGTTTAGGGCTAAGGTTAGGGTTAGATTAGGGTTTAGGGTTAGGTTAAGGTTAGGGTGCTAACATGCGATCGGTTTACATCGGATTTTAGAGAAGAGATGTATATTGACAGGCTACAACCGTAACCACTAACCCTATAGACGAGTTTCTATACAATATGCATTATGAATTGAGAGCCTCTGAACCTTCATCAAACCTTAACACGTTTTTAAATCATGTAAAAGAAGAATATCCACTGTAGTTCATTACTTACTTACAATATATTCTCACTTTATACTGTCTTCTGATTGGCTAATAATTGTCAAGGTCATTTAAGATCCGTTCAAAGGTCGTCGCTAAATTAGAGTCTCGCCAACAATATGAAGTGTATTACGTCACACATCGCTGTACACTCTTTCAATATTACTTCAAGATGCACAAAAACCTATCGATGGATTATATTTAAATATGCCTAAATTGATGGCCTAAATATAGTCCGCTAACTTTGCGTTTGAAACATGGATATAAGATGTAATACTAATATCATGAGATGTAATATTGCATATTGGCTGCACATTAAGATAGATACGAAACATACTTAGGTAATGACGAAAATATACACAGACTTACTTGGTCTCCAATCTGTTAAATAGTTTCGCCTTTCGAATATACAGAATCTCGCCAACGGAATCTTCCAAATTGCGTTCTACTACTTCTGCCATCGCCCTTCACTATGAGTTGTAGAGTAACGATAAGAAGACTATTTCTAGTGATCCTATGAAAAAGTGACGCTAAAGTGTTCCTTGAGAGGTCAGAAAATTCAATCCCAATAGTGGTTATGAAGTGCTGCAACATATAACATGCTTTCGCCCGACGGCCTTCACGACAAAACTTCCGCTGTCCAATTCCCAATATATTTAAGATGGGCCTGTAGAAACAGGTTGTTTTCTTCGTCATCTTTCCTTTGCGTCAAGGTGTAGCTCCCGTTTTTAAGTTTCGTCCAATGTAGACAGTCCCTCCAGTCGACCGTACTAGTCTTGGTGAATTTATCACTTGTTTGGTGGGTATAGTGACAAATAAAAAGCTAGCTGAAGGCAAAACTGGACTTAATCTAATGAAGCAAGTACTTGCATTTGATGTTTTTAAGCATAATTCCACCGTCAAGAACGGTATAAACTGTACGCTTGCTCAGCTTGAGTATGAAACCAACTTCAGGTAAATCGATAATCTTTAAACGTATACGTTAACCTCACGTCCAATTAATAATGGCTAGCATGACACTTCTGATCCTATTACTTTCTGTCCAAAACACCAATGGTATTCAGGTGTAAATCTGGTAGAACCATAAGTCACAGTGTTTGATCAAAATTTATGCTGTGTGACCAAGCAATAAATTTGGCAATATATTAATGAAGATTTCCTGTCATGACATGAGAATAACCAGTGAAACCCAAATGTGTCTTAAACTTGCGAAGCCCGTTTCAAGGTGCTGGCACATCATAATTATTACACATGGTCAGTCCTAATGCCTCAACCATTTAAAACAATTCAGCCTGTCTTCGGATTACTAATGACTTACTAACATTACATTCGTCAATCCATATTGGGTTTCAACATTATCATAAAACTCTTCGCGACTCAGGAGACATGGAATATAATTGGTAGAACTAATGAAATCGTTAACATAAACACCACCAATAATGTGGACTATATGACTTCAATAAATGTGGTACAGGTAACTATTTGCCTTTGTTAGCGATTATAAATTCTGTTGACCTAAATATCAGTTCCTTAAAGAGTAATCAACTTATAACATCGCCATTCAATCTGGAGGTCTGATCACGTAAATGACTATTCCCGTAAATCACCAATTTAATTAATGGAACTGACCTACTGCAGAATGGAGGGAACATTATCACATCTACAGCAATACCGAAAATGTTTCGAAACTGTATGAGACGTGGGCCTGATAATCCACTCCTCTCTAAAGACTTTTGATCTTCCTGATAATCATTCAACATTCGATTTTTAGACCAGTATCCAACACACTCCATGAATTAGTAGGTATTTGTCAAGTTCCTTTTAAAAGCTACCCCATGATAAGGCCGTGGCCGCTTAGCCTCTGAATGGGGCCAACCTTTGGTGAGTAAAACTGAGAAAACACTTGGGTTTTTTCTCCTCGATGCGTAGTTTTTCGAGGGGTGCCTCACAGAACTTGATGGTGATGTTCTAGTTAGCAGTTCATGTTGGAAGTAATTGACACACTCAATATGTTGTATCCCAGTGTCAGATCACTACTTATTCTCCAATAGCTTGTAGTGTGGCGTCGAGTCGCGGTTGACTATCATCACCACTACATGGAGACTACGTACCAGTTAACCGATAAGATCCCCCGTAGGCCAAATATAAGAAGGCAGTTGGTGGCTGTAGTCGAGATGTATTTATCGGCGATCTCGTGGTATCGAAAGAATACCGAGATCGTGCCAAAAGAGTACAAGTGTGGCTACTGAGAGCAACCCGATTCGTGCAAGGTCACAATCGACGGAAGAAAGTATGTCTTTAGTATAGTTAAACAGACAAGTACAGTAAAACAATCACTGGTACAATTGGTTATTATAATAATTGTTTCCATTAAACCAATCGCGTTTTCTTGATAAAAGTAGGTCACTTCAAGCTCGACGAGAATAAACACAAACACAAAGACAATATACTTCAAAGTTGAGTGGTCAAGAAAAACAAACTCAGGATAGTAGTAGGAATCCTGATTTAACAATTGAATTGGCGGTAATGATGATGGTGGAAGGATTTTAGAGCATATTCGAAAGGTTGAATATATATATGTTGAATGGTAAGAAATGTTTCACCCATGTTAATTTACGAGAATGAATTCCAATATAAAATGACAGATAAATCAAAAAAGCCATTTCATTTACTAAACAATTTGCTTTACTTCACCCGATTATTATGATCAACCTTAATCAATGTTCAATCAAAACATACATTTAGTCGGCAGTAAGTTGTATCTTTTCAGAACATCGGGTAGAGATGAGTCTATCCATCATAGTTTCATGATTAGAGTCGTCAAAAGAAGAATTACTAAACAAACACTAATGAACGAGTTCATTGCTTCAGTGTAACATCGACGACTAAATCTTTCTGGATAAATAAAATTAGTTTAAGCCATTTTATGCTAGCTGCTTCAATAAACTGTAATACATGTGACTCATTTATTCACCCACTCATTCACTGTACGACCATTCACACGTACAACCCAAGTCCTGTCACTATTCTATGAAAAGGAAAGTGTTTTCAGTTAATTATATCATTTTTCATTTGCTTTTTGAACTTTTATTCCTGTTGATCACAATCAAAATTAAAAATTTGTAGTGATCTACTTTTAAGAAGAAAACGCGATTGGTGTAATGGAATCATTTATTATTATAACCAACTGTACCAATGATTGTTTCACTGTACTTTTTTGTTTGACTGTACCAAAAAACACTTTTCCCGTTGGTTATGGCCTTGAACTCACTGAAGTGAGCACGGTAGTCTCGCCTGGGGTGGATTTGTCCGCAACGCTTCCATGTAAACCTAATGTACCGTTCAGTGTAATAACGGTTATGTCTGCGTTCATGTAATCATAAAACTTGTCACTTTATGATGTATCTTTATTAAATAAGTAGATTATGCTTTGAAGTTTGCTCTGGTCGTAATTTTTATTCACCACGTCCGACTGCGTTGCATGCTGGGATGATATACCAAGTTATGGTAAGTTTAATCACATCGTTGGTTGTTTCGAAATAGACGGTCAGTGTATAGTGTTACTGAAGGAAGGTTTGTTGTGCTGTAAACTATGTTTTTATGAACAACTGACTATTGCGTTTGATCTCAAAGCAATATCCTTTGTCTCCTGTTAGGTAAGTTCGACTTGCCTACAGTTCGTGTTTCGGGTTTATAGGCTTAGTTATATACATTTAACTAATTTGAGTAACATGTCTGTGCAGATTTAACAATAATTACGACACTTGCTTAGTTTATTATTCTTGGTTGTACAACCAAGACGTCATATCATTCTGTTTAGTTGATAGAATTATAGTATACCTAAGTATAGTGCTTGAAGCATGTAATGAAAGAGATCACTTTTGTAAGTAGAGCTGACTGTTTCTAATGATTATACTCACTCAAATTAATCTGCTTGAAAACATGAAAAGAGGTGCCTTTGATGATGCTGCTGTCATACACTGTAAGATAGCTTTAAGTGTGTTTGGTGATTATTTGTAGACTGTACATCTAGCACAGAAAATGTTTCAATATCACTGTCATTAAACAATTTCCCCAGCGTTAACATCGGTAACAGGATAGCAAGTGTCTGTGCTTTTACTTGCCTGTAAAACTTCAGTATACAGCCCTAGAAGAGGAGTGTTCTGTATTAATTAAGTGCAGCTGGCTGTGGACAAGTGTTAAAAATATTGTTGACATCTGGGACTCTTGGCTTGAATACTTAAATGGGAGCAAAATAATAATAGCTGTACAATACAGTAATAACTACATGCTATGCTTTGCACAAGTTGTAGTCGATGATTTCATCATGAATTAATATTCATGAACTCAGAGTAAATCACAGTTGCGTAAATTCTTTGCTTGAAAACATGTGGTTTGTTTATTTACCTATTCCACTGTGTTGACTAAAGCTATTATTTTTTTCATTTAGAATGCAACAGTAGTGAGCCTTCACAGGTATTACTGTTTCGTCGTTATAACTATGACTGAATGCAGCTGTTTACAGAAGGCTCAACTAACAACATCTTCCCCAAAAGGTTATTAGAAGTACGCTGGACGTCCGCTTTTGTCTCACAACCACTTACAGTATTTATGAGTTACTTCTCTAACTTTTACTCTAAAAAGACTGTAGCTTAGCATTACCAAAACGAGTTGTAAACAGAAAACTGATGTCAATGTTTGTTTCATATCTCATTGTTAATAAAACTTTTTCAATAAATGTGAAGCTATTTGGTTTTATAACGTTAAACGTCGTCAGAAATTCGCGAAACACGAGCTCCTTAGCACGCATTTCATATGTAATATGTTTAAGTGATATAGTACATATGTTTATTATTTTGGAAAACCCCTGAGCCTGAGCTTTCGTATAACCTATTCCAGCCACCATGATGTGTTGCAGTAGTCCATTGATGGTTACGCGTCTAAGCCATAGCTACTTACTGGTATGTCCTATGATTTGGAAGCAATGACTTAACTACACTCACGGAACACCAGGAGCGTGAGGGTACGCGCTCGCGAAATTACAACTATAGCCCCACTCAATGTTTTAACCTCCTTATCGCAGCAACGCTTGTTTTAGCTAAAGAAGAAACGAACTTCGGCTCTCGATATCTGAAAAGAAGTACTCAAAGCAAAAATAATAAACATTTTAGAATATAAGACTAGCCAGCTTGCCTGAAGAAATACATCGACTTGAGTAGCAGCAGCAAAAAACCAGAAAACAAAGCTGAATCTAAGAAAATTTGCGCGAACATTTAGAATATTACAATAACTGCGGTATTTTAGCACACTGCAACATCAAATTATGTAGCTACACAAAAAATAGCTGAAAAACACAAATCGAGGAAAGCCAACTGCCATTGCTTACAAAGATGGCGGATGTAATAATTCCCGCCTCATTCTGATTGGTCACTAAGCAGACGGCAACGTTCATGGAGTTGAGTTGCGTTTAATTACAGCCCTCGTCTGTAAACCTTGTCACGATCTCGGCATTATTTCGATATCACGAGATCACCAACAAGTATATCCTAACTGCAATCTACAACTGCCCTTCTAATATTCATCCTACGGAGGGATTTAACCTGGTAGTTGGCACATAATCTATCTGTAATGGTGATCACAGTCAACTGC